GAAGCTCCTCTTATGCAGGCTTAACTGTTACATTAGAATACCATTCATTGCTTTTACAGTTTGTTTCCTCATGCCTTTCTCAAATTTTACCCCAAAGCATCAATGGAACATATCCCTCCTAAACACCCTCTTTTTTATTTATGAGTGGGGGACCTCTATCATAACAGACAGATGGGTTGAATGTGAGACCTTTGCTTTCAGATCATAGAACAGAGGTGCTCCAGTGGGGCACAGGAACATGGGTGCTGTTGAGATTCTTCTGCCCTCAGCCAAACTGCTGACCCAAGCCAAATAGATTCAGATGGTTTCCAGAAGACAGTAGCAGGCAGGGCATTCCAACACTAATGTCAACCTTATAAAGAAGACAAATGAGTGTAGTACTGAGGAAGGCAATGAACCCCATTATTCCCATGATGGGCTCCTGGGGAAGCCGCAGACAGTTTTGCGGTTCAAATGACAGACGTCACCCAAAAGTTGAGGAGTTCACATTAACTGAAGTGCACATTTAAGAATAATCAAAACATAAAACAGATGTCAATATCAAAATACCGAGTGTGTAGTCCCCAAATTAAAGTTAAACATGAAAAATAAGTTGCACTAAAGCATGCATTCTTTTCTTGTTCAAATATTTTACTGCTTTTTCAAATGAAAAGAGGTTTAAAAAAATCTAAGAAATTGCCAATATTGTGGTAGAGTTATCACCACCTGGAGCCACACAGGAGTTTTTTGTTGGCTCCTTCACCTCTGAGAAATTCTGACCATTTAATACCTCATAAGAACTGTAGTTAATTAATTTTTTATTCCTCTTTGGATAATGAAAACTCCGAAGAACTTTCTGGATTTGCTAAATCTAGACATGTCACTTTGTGAGTTTTTGTGCATTTATATGAACAAGCTTATTATTCTTATTTTAAATTTGATAAACACTGATAATATATTGATCATAATCATATCACTGCAATCTGAATAATGCAAATTCTACCTTTATTTTCTAGAAGCCCCCTAAATGTCAAGCATACCATGCCCTCAACCACAGATAATTTCCACACTTTTCAGAAAATAACTTTTCCTGATTAAAATAATCTGATATACCCATTTTAAAATTTCAAACAGTACAGAAAAATAAAGAAGAAAGTAGAAATTACCCTAAGTCATATTAAATATAGATAACTACTATTCATATACTGACCATTTTCCTTTGTCATGTATTAACTGATTATTGTTGTTGTTTAGTAGTTCAGTCATGTCTGACTCTTTGCGACCCTATGAACTGATAGTGGTGGTTTAACTCTTGTTCCAATGTCTATGAGGGCAGGAACTTTTTCTACTTTATTTACTGCTTCCTACCACATAGTCTAGATGGGTGTCTGGCATTGAGTAGGTATTCAAATATCTTATTTTGAATTTATAATTTCCCATTTACATGATTCTTTTTGCTTAACATATTGTACACATCTTTTCAAGTCAGTTAATATAAATTTACAACCTGATTTTTTTGAAGGCGTGCATTTTACTGGACATAAAATATGTTTTTCTGTTTGTGCCATACACGTGAATATGTGTGTCTGATTATCTTCTTAGAACATACCTCCATGAATGAAGCTATTTGGTCAAAGGCTACACACACTCAAAAATTTGACAAAGATTACCAAGATGCTCTCTGGGAAGTATGTATGAATTTTCACACTCATCAAGTCCAGAAAAAGGCCCCATCTTCCCCTAAGTTGAATGGTGACATATCTTTGTCAGTCTCATGGCTATAAATACTATCTCAGTGTTGCTTTGAAATCAGAATTAATGTAGTTATTTGTTAGCGTGAATATCTTTTCATATGCTTGTTGGTTCACAATAGTCTAAATTTGTGGTTGATTTTTCTTTCTCATTACTAATTTTGAGTTTTGAGCAGTCTTGCTTTTGGTCAAGGATTAGACTGGCTACTGATTTATCTGTTTTATTATGCTTTCAAAGAACCAGTTCTTGGGTTTAGCAAGTCCCTCAGTTTTTTTCTTTTTTTCTTTTTTTCTTTCTGTTTTCTATTTTATCCATCTCTGTTACCTTTATGGGCTTCCCAGGTGGCACCAGTGGTAAAGAACCTGCCTGCCAATGCAAGAGACCTGGGTTCCATCCCTGGGTTGGAAAGATTCTGTGGAGGAGAGTATGGCACCCCACTCCAGGATTCTTGCCTGGAGAATCCCACGGATAGAGGAGCCTGGCTGGCTGCAGTCCATAGGGTCACGAAGAGTCAGACACAACTGAGCGACTCAGCATGCAAAGAGACGTTACCTTTATGACTTCCTCCCTTCAGCTTCCTTATTTTTGAGTGTTTCCACTAGATTTTTTTGAGAAAATGATCATCTTACTATTGCTACACTCCTATTTTAGTAACAAATGTGTGTGAAGGTGAATCTGTACCTTGTTAGTTTTTGCCATATCCTAGAGATTCTGGGGTGAAATATTCTCATTTAGTTTTCCATATGTCTTGCATTTGCAGTTTTGATGTTCTCTTTAGCATTAGACATGTCGAGATTCTTTTTTTTTTTAATTTTCATTTGTTGGGCAGGGAGTTTGTTGGTAGCCTTTGTTCTTTTATGTATTTTGTGTTTTGCTGCATGTGATTAAAGCGTTCAGCCTGTACTATTTTTACTTATTGGAATTATTTTTGAAGTAGTTTGGAACATTTTTGTAAATGCCTCTTAAATTTACTAATATATATTCTTGGTTGTGAGACATAAAACAGATATTTACTTAACTGATTATATAATTTAAAGCCACTTCTGCCTTGTTGATTTCATTTTCTGTTTGACCTAACGAAGACTAGAAAGGTAAATAATGTCACCATCCCTATTATGTTTCTCAGAAATTCCTCTTGTAGGTCCAGAAATTGTTCTCGCAGCTTCTTACATTGTATATTATGGTGCCTTGGAGTTGATTTCTTTGACTTTCGTATTTTGATAGGTGGTCTGTCTTATTCCTCTTCATGACCTCTCTGGAGTTAGAAAAGCATGCAGTGGTTAATTTTATGATAGGGTCATCTTTCCATATAAATGAGGAAACTGAGAACCAGAAAGTTTAAATAACTGGTACTACTACAAGGTCACACAGTAAAAGAATGGACAAGCCAGGTGTGCCTGTCCTTAAAGCCCCTTAACCTGTTTCTATCATTATGTTCTGGTAACTAATGCTATGAGAAATCCAACCTGGCCTCTCTTATTTTCTTAAGTAACTTGCTTATTTTATGTAGATACTTGCAGAATGTATCTTCATCACTGTAGTACAATATTTTTACTGATTTTCTCTCAGCACTGTTTGATGCTTTTTTTCAGGCATCTGTTTTTTTTTTAATTTTTTTTTCAGGCTCTGTGAGCCCTNGTGTCCGACTCTGTGCGACCCCATAGACGGCAGCCCACCAGGCTCCCCCGTCCCTGGGATTCTCCAGGCAAGAATACTGGAGTGGGTTGCCATTTCCTTCTCCAATGCATGAAAGTGAAAAATGAAAGTGAAGTCACGTAGTTGTGTCTGACTCTTTGCGACCCCATGGACTGCAGCCTACCAGGCTCCTCTGTCCATGGGATTTTCCAGGCAAGAGTACTGGAGTGGGGTTCCATTGCCTTCTCCGCAATTTCTTTCCTAAGTTCTGCTAAATCTCCATTCCTTGTATCATGTTTTCTTACCATATTTTGGCCATCTTTTTGTCCGTGTGCTTTAGAATTTGAGAATTCAGTACAGTTGTCATGTTTGTTTTCAGTTGAAATTCTTCTAAAATGAAGCCTTCTTCTCTTACTCTCCCCCCTACCTATCCACCCTCTCTCACCTCTTCCTTCTGGTGGTGGGGGAAGGAAGAAAGGACTGGGGACAGAATTTTCATGCTTGAAATATGCCAATTCTCTTGCCTTATTTTCCCTCTTGTTCATTTTTTAAAGACAGGGAATCTGTCTTCCTGTTTGCCAGAAAAATAATGTCTACCTCAAATGTGTGAGCTCTTACGTGAGATTTGCAGTAAGATGCTGATAATCTCTCAGCTTCCCAAGAAAGGCAGCCAAGGCCGTTTGTCAGTTTGCTTCTGTTTAATTCATCTCCAGTGTTGTTGGAACTTCAGTGGAACTTTCAAAAAACATCTCAATGAAGCGGGAGAGGATTCCATTTCAACGGGTGGGTATCCTTCAGATTTCAGGTCTTCCTGTCTGGTATGAGTGGACTCCCGTACAGATTTCTAGTTTTGGAGACACCTGGTAGCTAGCAAGCACTGGGTTTGGTGTGGCTACAGGCATGCTCCTCCTTTGAATCTACCTCATTTGCTGCCAGGCCTTGGTTGAAACACTTGCTGCTAGGCTATTATTACTTACTTGCCTTCTGCTGTCCGCTAGACTAGAGAAAACCATTATTAAATTTATCTACCCCACCTCCAGCTCTATGGCATCAGATTGCTGTTTATCTGGTGAAGAAAGGTGGCTCTAGCAGGCACGCAGAGCAACTTACTCTGGGGTCTCCCATGTCCGCAGAGCCGATCCTTCTCTGGTCTGAGGCATTTTTGTGGTTTTGAGAATCTCTTGCTTGTTTTCAACCATTCTGTTCATTTCTTTCAGAAACTCTGTTTAGAGTTCCAGGATCTTCTATACATTTGGCCCCAACAGTTTCATACCTAAATGATATCTCTGTATATTTAAAGCATTACAAAGTTTAGTTCATCATTCGTCATAAGGAGATTATTTTTCCTCGTACTGTCAATAACGATTTGCTTCTTCTTTTTTTATTTTGATTAATTTTGTTCAGTTTGGAAAGGGGAAGTTTGTGACTTCTCAGGCTTTCTGAGCTTTTGCACCCATCTCTTTCAGGATCTTTCTCCCCCTATTTGTGAGAGTGAAAGTGTTAGTCGCTCAGTCATGTCTGACTCTTTGCAACCCCATGGACTGTAGCCTGCCAGGCTCCTCAGCTCATGGAATTCTCTAGGTAAGAATACTGGAGTGGATACCCATTCCCTTCTCTAGGGGACCTTTCTGACCAAGGGATCAAACCCAGATCTTCTGCATTGCAGGCAGATTCTTTAACCATCTGAGCCACGAAGGAAGTCTCCCTCTTTAACATTAAAGTATTTCAGCTTTTTCATACATTTATCCTTGCCTGTCTTATATTAATAGTTTAGTCATGTGTATACATTTGACCAGTGCTGCTGAAACTGCAAACAGTTAAGGACAAGTTGTTTTTTAGTTTCCAGTCTGTTGTAGATCCTTACATTTATATAACATAATTAGTACTGAAAATGAATTAAAAATGACACATAAAATGCAATTTGACTTATATCAGATTCAACAGACATGACATTATTTGCTATACAAGTTTACTTTTTCCTTCTTATTCATTTGGAGGGTCACAAACAGCCCCTGGGTCAGGCACAGTCCATGTGGCCCCCTCTGAGTAGCTTCAGAGTAAGCCCCTCGGGGGCAAGGGCAGGGTCTCGTTAACCTGTGTGTCCTCCTTAAAGCCCACCTAGCACTATGCCCCCAAAACAGCATCTACTGAGAAATAACTGTTGACTATATGAGTGAGACAATAATACTCTAAGTAGCAAGTGCCTCTTGAGGTCAAAACTCTTAAGTTGGTTCCTGACCATCACAACTTCCTCTCGCATTGGAAAGATGCAGGTGCTATTATTTGGATTTATAGCAAAGGTTCAGAGAAGAATGGGTCTACACACAGGAGGACTTTTTATCCATGCTGTTTTATTTGACCCAAGGCATTTTCCCTCATATGCTGTTTCATGTCTCTATAGGGAGTACAAAGCGTGGTGTGAAAGACGAGGCAGGATATTAACCGGACTGGGGCCTGGACCAGGTGTGAGCATTCTGTCTTCTGTCCGTCACTTTATTTATCATCCTTCTCTCGAGGACTGTGTGAGGACCCTCTGATTCCCAGTCACACCAACAGACTCTATGCTTGAGGAGTGTGTTATGATGAAATGCTTATTAGGATTAATACTGGCCCCGAACTAAGAAATGATGGTTGAGTTTATATCTTCTAATGTATTCCCCTCCAGGGCACTGATTTACCAATTTACAGAATGGTTGAGGAACTACCCTAGTTAGGATGGAAGCTGAGAGGCAAACACCATCAGTGGGAAAACCACAGTGAATAGGATGAATAAAAGGTGTCTCACCTACTGGTGGCATGGAGCCTGACACTAGTCCTGAGCATCAGCAAGTGTGCAGAGAGTAGAACTGCCCCTGGGGATGTGCAGAGATGGAGAAGCAAGGGCCCACTCTTGACCAGTGGGGAAGAAAAACACAAAGAAAGCTCTTGGTTGGGTAAGGCAGCATGTGTAAAGGCCACAGCAGACGTGCCTAAAGTGCTAACACGATGCAGAAGAAGGAAAGAGTAATTCTGAAGGGCAAAGGGTCACTTCCCAGATTATTCAAATTTACTGGCACCCTAAATTGTAGATGTGTCCTCTAAATATGTCATCGGTTGAGCTCCTCTGACTATTTAACATCCGTCCTTGGCCTTCCCAGGTGGCCATCTCATTCTGCTTGCATTTCTCTTGTACTTCGCATGATTACATTTACAGTTTCCTTGCCTATGTCTAATGTTATCTTTGGATCAAAACCGCTGCTGGTGTGTTGCTCGTGCAGAAGAGTATCTGGCAAACCATAGGCCTTCCATCAGTGGTCTGTCCTTGTTTCTGGTTTTTTGGATGCCGCTATCTGGGGAAAGGCTGTCAGAGATGATAACTGCAAAGCATCAAGGTGAGTTCCTGTTAATACAAAGATGAGGAAGCGAAGCCCTAAACAGGCAGGATAATTGGGACCAAGGATAAAAAATGATTAAGCTGTCCAGAAACAGTACAGAAGTTGGCAGTTTAAAAGCATCGTTACATTTTTTCTTTTCTTTGAGACAGGAAAGGGATTTTACCTCATGAGAAACTTCAGGAAAATCTCTCCAAATTCTATAATCTGGCATATTGTTTAATAAATATTTGTTGATTTAATTAACATACCTGAAGAAGTTGTTCTCATGTATGTCAATATTTCCCCCAGGGAGCCCTTGGGCTGGTTGGATTCCATGAGTTTGGACAGTTGAGAATGAGTTGCTGAACTGGCATCAGGCTTAGGGTACCCATTTCAAGTCTTTTGAAAGCACAGCTAGACTGGGGATCATCAAGGTAGCTTAAATTGTATTTGAAAGAGGTTTCATTTTATAGCTAGACATGTGAGTTACCACCAGTGACTGGGGGCGATTGTGCTCCCCGCAGAACATCTGGAGACATTTTTGATTGTCACAGCTGGGAAGAAGAGGGTGATGCTACTGGCATCTAGGAGATAAAAGCCAGTGAGACAGCCAAACATCCCAGGATGCATGGGAGAGCCCCTGCCACAAAGCATTTGCTGATAGTTTGAGAAAATCTTCCTTAGACAGATTTTCTAATTTAAAGGGCAGCTCCAGGGACGTTATTCCAAGAGGCTTTCCATTGACAGTTATCAGCTCAAAAACCCTTTGGACTCAATTACCTATGGGGTTAGAGGCCCCGTGGACCATCTAAATATATCTTTGTTACTGTACTTGCAGAGCTGTAGGACCCAGATTCCAAGCCCCTCCTCCATAAACAAAGCGGATAAAGGTCAAGTTCTTCAAGTCTCCGGCCCTAATGCTGCTGCTGTTCAGATGTTGCTGAGCCTGGCGTGGTAATGAGAGCCCTGATCTGATTGGTCCCTACTCTGGGGGGTGTGGCAGGAAAGCAGCCAGTGGGAGGGCAGTGGGTACACTGTAGGAGGAGCCTGTTCTCTTCACCAGGAGTGCTTAGCTCTTCTCCCCCGCCCACTTTGCTGCCTTTTGACAAGGGATTAGTACCCAGAGGTTCTACAGCTCAGAAGCTCCAATAGAAACTTGGAGGTTTCACTTTAGCCAACTTGCAGAGTTCCTGGCCTGGGAGGCCAGCTGGACAAGGGCCCTGGGAGCTAGAAGATGACTTGCATAAACAGATTTGGGGCTTTCCACAACCATCTCTGGGATGTGCGCTTCAGTTTTGCTCTAACTGAACTGATTCACAACACGGCAAGCAAAAGACAGATTTTCACGATCACTGCAGTTATTCTGAGAAACGACAAAAGTATCACCAGGATGTACTTCAACCAGTGTGCTTGTATCAGTTGCATATACTGGGATGATGTGAGGTCATCCCCAGAAGTATATACCCTTCAGTTTACACCCTCGGTGTGTGAGAAGTGTGGAACCTTTTTGCAGTTCTAGTTCAGCAGACACTGATGGGCCTTCTGCCACGTGGCAGGAATTCACAGATCCAGCCTGGTGAGCAGCACAGAGCATGGCAGAACGCAGAGAGCAAAGGAGGGGTGCTCTGCTCAGCCTGCGGCAGGCGGAGGAGGCGGGAGGAGAGCTGCCTGCAAAGAGCCCGACTGGCTCTGCTTTTCCCTGCGTACCTTCGTCCTTCCCCTTTCTCCCTCCTTTTTGCTTTACCTTCTCATCTTCTTTCTTCTCGATGGATTTAGGAGATGTTTGGAATTAGGAGATGTCCGCACCAGCAAGACCCAAGCCTCCTCTGTTCTAATCCTCGGGAACAGAAGTGGTGTGGACGTAAATCCTAGATCACCAAATATATAGCACCTGTAAAATAACAGGCACAACTCAGTGAAATAATTATCAACTAAACAGGACAGCTTCCCCAAGTAAAGGAAAGATACATGCATTAATATTATTGTCAATGTTGCAATACCAAGTGCCTATCATGGACCAGGCTCTAAAGGAGACATTTATAGACATCTTTGACTGTCATGCCACCCTTTAAGACACAGCTGATTCTTTCCATTTAACGATGAGACACTGAAACTAAGAGATTAGGCACAAGAAAGAACTAGAGAGACACTGGCCCTGAAATATCTGGAATGGAATGTGTGGTAATAGAATTAAGACAAAACATTTTAATACATTTATCATCTGCAGCTTTAAGGGTGATTGTCAAAAAGAGAAAACTTTGATAATAATTGATACCATTACAGCTAGATAGATCACATATCTTGCATGTGAAAGCTTCATATATCTCATCCATCTCATTGCTTAAAAAACTGTATTATAGCCCAGGAGGGGAAAGGAGACAAGAGATAAGAAAGAGTCATAAGACAGAAGATCCAAAGATTGCAGTAGCTGTAGCAGGCAGATGAATTTCTTCCTGTGGAATTTCCAATATAATCAAGTGACCTTGGGTCTCATAGTTAGTGTTTGGCTTAAAAGTTGGACTTGGATGAATTGGCAACTTCTTTCATGGTCTACATGGTCTATGGTCCCTCAGCTATTCCTATTGTTAATAATTATCCCTAGTATTAATCATTATTAAATATGTAATTTGGGGGATTATACATAACTTTCTGAGCCTTATTTCTCTATTATGAAGAAATACAGATGAAAATTATAAAGACTTTATAGATTTGACATAAAGACTAGATAAGGATGGACATAAAAATGCTGAGCATGGTGGCTGGCATAAACTTTCCATGTATATAGATATTATTACTGAAGCTTGTCCATTAGTAACTTGCCCACACCAAGAGAAATATATTTTCTCTCTCCATGCAGGAAATTCTTTAATTTCTTTCAGAAAGGTAGAAGTCATACAATTCCAAGTTATACTCAGCTATAGATTTGAAATTTCCCCCTTCAGCCAATTCAAATCAATTTTAACATTAAAAAAATAGATTATTGTGATAATTAATATCATTGCCTGCCTTTCTATGTCCATCCTCCATGAACTCACCTATCCTGCCTCCTACCACTTCCACAGGTTTACTGTGGTTTTCTGATTATTCAGATATAAAAGTATTCTATTCCTGTTGTTTTGTTTGCATAGAATTCTTTTTTTCTTTTTTCTTTTTTTTTTTGCAAATAAAGTCTTATTCAGAGAGCTAATATGTAAAATAGACCAACACAGACCTGCTCTATTTGGAATGGAGTGAGGGCCTGCTCGTGTGCCCTCCCCCCATGTTGATATTAGTCCCTCTGCATTCCAGGGGAATCCTGAGATGTTCCCAAAGGAACCTTAGGATTGCACTGAATGTATCTTTTCTTAAGAAAAATTCATCCATATGAATGACATCACAGTTTTATCCCCTTCCCAGGAGGATTGTAGAAACAGTCCTGACTTAGCTAAGGGTGGAGGGAGGAAGTGGAAAAGGATGAACTTCCATGTGGTCCCCAAGGTACCCACATGTAACGCATGAGATAACATTCCCTGGCCTGGATCAGGCTGTATGGGACTCCAAACATCTATGTGGAAGCAGGGCATGTAATTCGGTCACCCATATGTCTCCAAATATTTTGATACTTTGGTAATTTGACATCATCCCAACTGTCCAGCCATACAATCCCCCTTACCAAATACAGAGCACATTTTCCATCACCATGCCTTTGTACTCAACGTTTCTCCCTCCTGGAATAATGCCCATCCTTCCATTTCTGCCTGGCTCTCTGACTGACCCCTCCTCCAAAGCCTTCACCACCAGCTCCTCCTCAATTCCTAGGGCCAGAATTCATCTCTTTGGTGCATTTCTTCATTGTTGCCTCCCCCACATTCTTCTATCTCCCTCACATTCTCATCTTGCCTGGGGCACTGTCTTACACAGAACAGACAGGGGAAATGCTCACTGCATCAAACTGAATAGAGACTGTGTTGATCAGGTCTCAGGTCAGCCGCCTGTGTTTTCCACTTGGAATCACTTCATTAACACTCCCTGCAAAGTCCAACCAGGGAAGGATCATTTCCAAAGAAAAGCCAAACCTTTTCATTTCTAATTTCCTTCCCTTTGGGTGTCAAATGGAAACTGGGCAAGATATATCATCCAGTTCACTCCTTCAACAGCCCTACTTTCCCTCTTGATCCTGAACTTCAGCTGGCGTCTGTAAAATTTCTCCTTTGAGTGAGACCATTTTCTTCTTGGTTCTCAGTAATAGTAACAATCTCTTGGCCATCTGTTTGTTCCCTGAAAATCAAACTAGCTGGTTTCGGTGACTCTTACCTATTCACAATCCAGCAGATTTTTAAACCCAATATTTCCTGTGCAAATACTTTGTTTTGGATATTTCAACGCCTCTTGCTTGAGTGATTGCAGAACTGATGCAGAACTGTTGTTTTAATCAGGGGCTGTGCTCACAGAAACTATTTCAGTGGGATAAATTATATCCACAAACAGTTATTGGTAAGTACTGCGATATACTGCATACAATGCTGAGTATTAAGACAAATACAAAAACAAATACTATGTTCTAATTAGGGAGACAGAAACCTTGTCCTCAAGTAGCTAATCAAGTTCAAGGCAAAAAATGCTGGCACATGACTAACTAGAAACATTCTTTTATTGTTTACAACCAGCTCTGTGTTAGGAATTTGTGGCATCTTACAAAGAAACATATAATACGGAAAAAAAAAAGAAAACACGAGGATGAAAGATCAGGGAAATGGAAAACAAGGCTAACTAGTGCCACAGTGGAGGCCAGTTCACAAAATATACCCCCTGGAAACTGCAGAAAAGCAACGGCCATCTCTGTTGTGTGCACAAGGGTATTTCCAATGAATGGCACAGTACCTGGCACATAGTAGATTCTGAATAAACAAAGGATACAATGGACATGTCTTCCATTTTTAAGGTTTTTTTTTTTTTTTTGTAGTACCTCTATTAACTACACCAAAACCACATTTGAAAAATCCAAAATTTGGATTTACTGGCTCAGTGGTGAAGAACCTGCCTGCCAAAGCAGGAGACACAAGAGATGTGAGTTCAGTCCCTGAGCTGGGAAGATCCCCTGGAGTAGGAAACGGCAACCCACTCCAGGATTCTTGCCTGGGAAATCCCAGGGTTAGAGGAGCCTGGCAGGGTGCAGCCCATGGCTTTGCAAAGAGTTGGACTTGACTTAGTGACTAAACAACGACACATCAAAAAGTCTGAAGCTGCCATCTTGACAGCTACACAGTGAGGGCTAGTAGGGTTCAGAAAGCCAGCATGACGAAAAGTCAGCATGCACATGCATTGTCTCATCATTCCATCAGAGTTCCTTGGCAACGTGAATCTAGATTTCTGTCATACCAAATTTGGACTTTGGGTAGTGGAAATAAAGAACAGAGTATCGGGAGAAAGGGGGATGTGATATAAAAGTCAGAGATTGAGAGGTTGCTGGGTACAGTTTTTGATGGAGAATATAGATGGAGAGAGAAAAGGGCGGGGGAGGGAGTTTTCAAGCAACCAGGGGTAAAAAAGAACCGAATAAGCAGGATAATGTTACAGGTAAGAGCACAGAGTATAAATTAGATCTTAAAAATGTTCTTTAAGAGAGACAAAGTTAGATACATGTTTTAAAAACTGCTGTTAATTTTGGCTCTTGTATCATGTTTGTTCAAACAAGAAATCACATTATGACTAGATCACCTGTGACCAAGGAACTAGTCAGGTGACAAACAGTGATGCATTTTTACTTCAAAACACACACTCTTGGTTACACCAGCCACAATCACACACACAGTGATTTAGGAAACCATGTAGCCAGGAAGGAGTAGAACAAAGAAAAACTCTTCACACTTTTTTTTTTAAAGTAACTTTAGAGATTTCCCTGTTGGTTCAGTGACTAAGAATCCGCCTTTGAATGCAGGAGATGTGGGTTCCATCTCTGGTGGGGGAACTAAGATTCCACATGCCACAGGGCAAGCTAAGCCCACACTCCGCAACTCTGCTCCGAAACTACAGAGTCGCCACAGAGCCCCAAGCTCCAGAGCGCCAAGCAGAGACCACGTCCCCAGTGGAGACCCAGCACAGTGGAGAAACCGTAACCTTAAAGCCTAAAAAGTAATACGTTTCTAAAAAGTAATTCAAAAAGCGATGGGAGAGAATTTTCATCAAGCAAAGCAGCTAATATTTTAGAAAGTATCTATCTACACATAGGAAGTGAATTCTAGGTTGCTCCCCAAACTTAAAAACCTATAAATTACTTGGTGGGATTATAAATTGAGTCAGAGTTTTTGGAAAATAACATAGCAACATATATCAAGAGCCTTCAAGTTATTTGTACCCTTTGGTGGAATAATTACCTTAAAGGAACCATCAGAAATGGAGTCAGGATATGGCATATTATATACTCATTAAAATCAGGTTTTAATAAATATGTAAAAAAGTATATATCCATATCTAGAAAATGACTTCAATTGTATAAAAATGTGTATACTATACACTCACACAGACAAAAGCCTGGAAGGAAATACTCCAAATGTCAAGCCTTGTAGAACTGTTAGAAGTAGGGATGAGGTGTTTTTTTTTTTTTTAATGCCACTTTAAAAAATAAAACTTCTATGGGTGGGCATGGGTTTAATAATGTGACAAAAATAAACACGTAGGGAAAAAAACTAGTTCATAACCTAAGCCAGTCTCCTTCACTTTGCCTAGCAAAGGATTCTGCTAAATTTTCTACCAAAGAAACTTGACATGCAGACCTATCAAATAGATTTGTCACTGTCTCTTCAAAGGAGGAAATTCTGTTTCAAATTCATCCTTAGCCCAGAGCAGCTAATTTGATTTTATCAGTCATCAGCAAAGCCCTTACATTAAATAATTTATGCATTTTTTAGCTCCATCCCTACAGGGCAAGATTCAGTACTTAATGGAAACCATCACACCATTAGACTGTTAGAGCTCATCTAACATGTTGGCTTTGAGAAGCCTCAAGCCTGAAGTATTGAGTGGTCACTTAGAGCATGTTTATTTGATCTGACAGCACTAGAGAGGAATGCAGAGGTGGAAATGAAACAAAGAAATCACGACGTGCACGTACCAGCCATGGGATAGAAGGTCTGGGAAAAGATGCAATGACATGAGTGGCACAAGCAGGTGTAAAGATGCTTCTCCAGCAAATGTCCACGGAGGGGATATTTTCATTAAAAAAATTAACGAATTGCCAGCACCGAAGTACTCTCCTGGCTGCAAGACATTCCCGGGTCAGCCTTCTTCTCCCGGGCATCTGCTGTCTGGAAAAGCCTTCCACTATCTGTTTCTCATTAACAAACTCATCTCCAGCCTTATCTAAAATCATACCTGGGCTCACTCTTCTGCGCCTCTTCATTTTGCTTTCTTTCTGTTCCTGGCATTAGAACTGAATTTAATTTGTTCATCGTTAAAGGGCTTTTCATCACTAGATTTCTTGGGAAGTTCCGACACTTGGTATTTATTCCCCTGACAAGTCGGTTTTGAGGATGAATCGGATGTAGCTTGTCAGGCGCTTTGAAAACAAATCTCCTTGCAGCTAGGGAGTTGCCATGAGTGGTGTTCCCGGCTTTGTTTCAAGATTCAGTATAATTCTGAGACAGGTAGTGAAACAAGGAGCCATTTTATTTCTAGAAATATCATCTCGGCTTCAAATCTGTTGGCGACAGTAATAACAGTAAACACACCACAGGGATACCTTAGAAGTACAAGGACTCCAGGGATTCAGGCGATGGTCTGTATTAAGAGAGATTTGTAACAAGCTGGGATAAAATACAGATGCTGGAATAAAACCTTTCTACAGAAATGGTAGAGAGGGAAGGGTCCATTAGAGTCCTTAAAAAGTCATCTTTCTGGTTCATCTACACTCTGTTCATATACACTTAACCAAGAAGTAAAAAATAAGTGAAGGCAAGGATACAGGCTTCTAGATGGAAGATGAAGTTCTGGGAATCTAACATACAGCATGGTGATTATAGTTAGCAATAACATGTTATATTCTTGAAAGCTGTTAACTGAGTAGAACTGGAATGTCTCTAACACAAAAAGGAAATGGTAATTATGTGACATGATGGAAGTGTCTGCTAACACTATAGTGGTAATCATTTTGCAATGTATTAATTATATCAAATCAACCCACTGTACATCTTAAATATTATGTACAATGTTGTATGTCAATTATATCTTAGTATAGCTGGAAAAAAATTTAAGTGAAGAAGGTGAAACCCAGTGCTATACAGCTTGTATCTAGCTAGAACAGGCAGACACGGCGGGCTACAATCTCATGAGCAACTTACCACTTGAACAGCCTGTACCAGAAGTCACACTGTATGTAGAATAATATGAACAAAAGCCACACCCAACAGGTAGAGATGAAAAAAAAAAAAAGCATAGAATCTTTTCTGTTTCAGAAATTCTCAACTTTCAGACATCATCAGGTGTTTATGAAATTGACAATCCACCCGGCCTTCCCTTTGGCACTGCCCTCTGGTTCTGTGATCCAGCCGTGGACTCTTAGCAGAGCGTTCACCTCCACCAGTGCAGCGTCACCCAGGCGGACCAGCCCAGGGGGACCAGCCCAGGGGCACATGTTGTTAGATTATATTATGTCTTGTTCACTCATTCATTCACTTGCTTGGTTGTTTAGGGTACAGTGAGGGAATCACCTCATTCATGATCTTTAAGAACAATTTTACCCAAGCCATGGATTTGGGCCAGACAAGTAGTTGATGGGCTCTCTAGCGAGTTAACCTTCGTGACAGCGCTACTCAAACATACTCCGTCACCATGGCCATTACTACAGGTGGATAGCATCTTCTGCTCACATCTCAGTGCAGAATCTTCCTCCTGCTTTGGTGTGCAGCCCAGTCAATGGAGGCCTGTTAACAATGTCTGAAGTCAGGTACAGTGATCTGGACTGTGACAGGGTTCCCAGGTGATCCTGACGATCTCATTAATTCATTCCAGCACTGGCAGAGTGGTTGCTGGCCACGGTTCTTACTGTTTTATTCTGAGAGCATCTCTCATACTCTACTTTTGGTGCCTCAGGCCTCCGGGGCACTTTCTGCAATCGCTGTGCTCCTCAACCCTTGGGAAGGAGCTGTCTTTTCCCTCATCTGCACGTGGCATTTGTTAAGACAGGTTGTGCCTATGTCTCCTTTCTAGTACCACCATGGCCCTTGAGATTTCTTATATTAAATGTGAGAAAATTAGGATCAGAGAGTCCTGAAATCAAAACCCAGCTTACAAATTACTTTCTAGCCATGTGATCTGGGCAAGTTCCATAAGCTTTTCCTGCCTCCCTGCTTGTAAAATGGATGGTAACATCACGGAGTTGCAATGACCTATAAGAAGAGTTGTGTGTATGTGTGTGTGTGTGTGTGTGTGTGTTCAGTTGTCTGACTTTTTGTGACCCCATGGACTATAGCCCACTAGGCTCCTCTGTCCATGGAATTCTCCAGGCAAGAATACTGGAGCGGGCTGCCATTCCCTTCTCTAGGGGATCTTCCTGATCCAGGGCCTGAACACACATCTCCTGTGTCTCCTGCATTGTAGGCAGATTCTTTACCGCTGACCACTGGGGAAGCCCATAAAAGAGTTAGTGCATGCTTATATTTGCTGAATGAATAAAAGTTTGGCACAAGGAAGACTCCATATGCTAACTAATCATTTTCAATATTCTTGTTGTTTAATTCAATAGGTGTGCATTGGACTCTCACTATGCTTATTATTGCTTTTGAATTGCCCTTTAGGGGAATTTTTCATTTTCTTCCCAGACAGAAGTGTTTTTAGCTTACATTAACATTTCCTCTTGCCTTAATGTCTCCCTTTTGGATCATTGTAAGTTGTTTCCATCTCTTCTCATAGCTTTTCCTTTAAACTATTTTGCTAATATTTTTGCTTTTTTTTTTTTCTTCTTCCAATTCGACATATCCCAATTCTTGCCACAGGTGCTGGAAAGAGAACAGGAACCTTTAGTAAGCAAGTGACTGTGATGTGTATAAGGTACATTCTTTCCTTTCAATTAATGGGCACTCAGCTAGGGCCTCCTTCTAATAGGGAGGTAAATCAGCCACATTTCTGAGAAACAATTAGTTACACCTACATTTTCATTGAATTTTCACTCCTCCAGGTTCATATATGTTGTCTGCCACTTTCTTTTCTGTTATCTTGTGCTTATGAATTCCCCCCACTCCCTTTCACTGTTACCTTCTCTATTGATTTAAATTAAGCTTGGTTGGTATTTCTTTGAAAAGAAAACACAAGCTTGCTGGGTTGGGAGGTTTTTCCAAGGCCTCTCTGCTCTAGTAAAATCCTATATATGTAGGTTCTGCAAACCAACATTATTTTTGCTGTACAAACACCACGCGCGTGTTCTAAGACATGAGCCCTCTGTGTAAGATCCTTTCGCACATGCAAAACCAGCTGACATGTCAGCACTTCCACAGAGGGAAAACAAAAGGATCCTGGTTCAGAAAGATCAGGGCTGTTCTATGCGGCCGGTGCACGGTATACCTTGACCTTCATCTCCAGCAAGAGCAGTATGATGCTGTATGTTCCAGTTTTATACATTCTTATTCATAGTCTGCTCCCAAGAGTTTCCTCAAATTCTGAATTCCTCCAATGGGACAAGTGTTAGTTTTTTATTGTTATGTAATTATACTACCACAAACTTAATGGCTCAAAATAAATGTATCTCAAAGTTTCTGTTTGCCAAGACTTCAGGCATGGCTTTAGATGGATCTTCTGATTAGAGTCTCAAAAGGCTTCACAGTTTTGGCTGGGGCTGTGATCTCACCTGGGAATTGTCTGGGTAAGGATTCACTTCTAAGCTCACTTAAGTTGTTGGCAGAATTCAATTCCTTCCTCTGATAAGACTGCACGCTTCTTGCTGGCTGTCAGTCAAGAATGTCATCAGTTTCAAGAGACTGCCCACAGCTCTCTGACATGTGCAGTTCCCCAGCATGGTCTCCTAACTCTTCAAAGCTAGTGAGGCAGAGAGAGAGAAAGAGAGACAGAGAGAATGAATGAGCTGTCTGGTAACAAGAAGTGTACACAACTCTAATGCTGTATGATTTCATCAAAGTGTGTTTCAGCAGAAAGGAAATACGAATAGAAGATCATACTTTCAGTACTAACAGTGGACATATCTCGGTGATAAGGTATGAATAATCTTCTTTACATTTTTACATATTTTTACATTCTAAATGTTTCCAGTAAGCATGCAAAAGTTTTGACTTTAACATTCAAATTAATTGATGCACATATTTTAAAAAGTAAAACAGCACCCCAAAGCTTTAAGGTAAAAACAGTAGGCTTTTGCAGCTCCCCATCTCATCCCCAAATCCCACTTGCCACAGAAATAATTTCTTCTGGTGTTCTGAATAAGATAAATATAAAGTTTTTTTTTTAATCAGTGTTGGCTATTATCCATTGACTTTTTAGATGAAGATTTAGTTCTCCTTTCCCGGTCACCCCATTATATGCATACATTTCTCTTCTCCCCAAGTCTCTAATACAGTATAAATATTTATGCACAAATACATTTATTATATTATTAGTATTATTAAGTGCTCCTCATTGATAGCACATGTGGTACTATGATTACTATGATTATGTGTTTTATTTTCTATAGAATTCTGTTTTTCTTGGAATTAAAAATCGCCTCACTTTTATCTGTTGTTTCCTATATACCGAGCAATAATTCATCCTCAAACTCTCTAAAAGAACACTTTCCCTTCTCTCAACATGGCCATGCATATCAGCTAAATTGATACCTAATCCTCTAATGCTGCTTTCAGAAGACCAATGCCATTCTGATGCCTGAATCTTTATATAAGACCCATTATTCTGTCCAGGAGCTTGTAGGATGTTTTCTTTATTGTGATATTTGAAACTTCATGATAATATACCTTGTTATGAGTTATTTTGTACTCATTTTGTTGAACACTAGATGTCCTTTTCAATCAAAAAACATACAGATCTAAGAATTTTTTCATATTGTTTTGAAAATTTCCCCTCTTACTTCTCTCATCAACAGGGCTTAAGAGTTTTTGTTTTATCAGTTGGTTTGATTTAGCTTTGTTTTTACTCTTACAGAAATGCTACAATGAACAACCTTGGGCATACTTCCTTGTACTCATTTGTAAATTTTTTTGTACAGTAAATACTCAAATGCAAAGTAAAATTTCTACATTATAGAATATATATTTTCAAAGTTCATGCAGGAAATGTATACTTCCAATATGGATAATAAGATAATTTCTTTCATAAATGAATAATTTTTTCAGTGCTTAATGATAATATATCCACATGACAATATGACATTTTGCTTTCAATAATGCTCACAACTTCATTTTTGATACCCTCCCCAGCCAGTTTCTGAGTCTCTCTTATATGGAAGAAAAAACACGTAGAACCAGTTAATCATCTCAGCTTTACAACTCTGTAGTTGCAGGACTCTCAGCAAGACCCTCTCTGGCCTCAGTTTCCTCATGTGTAAAATAAGGAATAATATCTACTTCCTAGTAATATGGAAGGATTAAGTGAAATGCAAAAGCAAAGTGCCAAGCACACAAAAGATATTAAAAACAATATTAACCCCTCCCCTTAATTATCAATTCTATGCATTTAGAGGCAATGGAATTAGCATGTGTGTTTAGAGATACAACTTAAATCCACAGCATAACTATAACTGGGATTTACAATGATTCTGACTATACCCAAGTCTACATTTCAAAATCCAGATATTCCTCAAAGGTTATATGGGGCCTGCCCCAAACCCTATCCTAAGAAGTAGAGCCTGGCCAAGTCCCTTTAATGTAGACATCCCACTTTGTATATCCTAGCACCCCGCTGGGAGGGGTTTGACATTGCTCCTTTTCTACGCTGATCAACCTCCGTATATTTTAGATCCAGAACAGGGGCTCATAGTTAGGAAGAATGACTTATATTCCATAATTTCTTTTCCTGTCTCATTTTCCAATCCATTTTTATCAGGCTTCATGACATAAAGTCACAGTGAACCAAGTGATTCTTGTGTCTTTGATTATATCACAACTCAGGTAAAAATCATTTCTTGAGTACATGGGCTTTGAGCTTTACTTTGTCAAAGTGGGTTTCCGTTCCTTCCCTTCTTCCTTCTTCCCTCCTTATGCTATTGAATGGCACGCATCGTCTGCTTTGACTCTAGCTCCCTGTCCCATGCCAGTGACAGGGGACAGAGCCGAGAGAGTGGCATTGTGCCGATTTACTACTCACGTCTCTGTATCTCCTCCTTGACCTTGCCACCCCAGAATGTCCATATGGAGTCTGGCAAAGAAGCCCACTGCCCAGTCCTGCATTACAGCCTTCATTAGTGATTTATCCTCATGTTCAGGAAGTCTGACATAATCAGGCCAAATCAGAGCAATCCCTGCAGGAGCTTTGGGCAAGATCACAGGTTACATGGTGAGAAGGGGTACACAGTGACATTCTAGAATTGATCTGATCATATCCCAATGTTCCAGAATGTCTTTTTGTTCACTTGTGTTTTTTGGTTTGACAAGAACAGTAGGATAAAGTGGGATAACCTTACTATTTCTACTGGGTATTTCAGAAAGCAGTCAAAACACATTTGGCAAGTGAAGATGAGTCTCAGCTCAATGAACTGAAAGGCCTGATCTTCATGATTCATCCCTTGAGAGAAATTCACTGAGCACCTCTTATGTGTCAGGCATTGCCCATGGGCTTGGGAGACTCTTGTCCACGATACATTCCCCTCCCTGTTTTTCTCAAATCCCACAGTCATGCCTATTTCTACTGCAGGGATAAAGCTTGAACTTCTAGTTTATAAACTAATCATTCATTGAGCATTTAGAATATTCTAGACACTATATCAAGTATTTTGTCCACTTAACATACATTTCTTTGAATCTTCATTTAAGCCCCTTGAGATAGGTACTTTATTTTCATTTTGAAAGATGCAGAAAATGGGGTATAGAGAGGTTGAGTAACTTGCCTACAGACACACATGGAGCAAGTGAAGATGCTAGGAAATGTGCATGGAGCTTATCCCTGTGACTACCACCTCATTCTCCTATATCAGGGATTGCATCTCTCTCCAATACTGAAATAATAATGATCCTCTTCATCTTGGGAGTTCTCATCTCTTTCTAAGTTCTGCCTGAGAGACACATTTCTTTCAGAATCCCGACTTTTCTAGATTTCTTCCTAGATCCTTTTCCCATCCTTGAGTTCTTTCTCCTCCAAACCGTCTCTTTGCTAAAGCACGATGCGTTTTGGTAACTCATGGGTAATCTTTTCCTTAACAAATTCTAGGATGGTTCTTAATATAGGATTTCCAGGAATTGAAGAACATTCTTTTGCTAATCAACTTCTTGACCACAACTGGTTCTGTGCAGGTATGCATTTTTAAACAATGAATTGGCAGTTCAAAAAGAACTTAAATCAAATCCCACACAAGAAAGCATAGTTTTATACCCTAGAATAATTCTTTTGAGGTCTGTCCTCTCTGCTTTGTGCAAAGGCTTGCAGAACCTCAAGCTTGGGGTCATTCATTCAGTTCAGTCACTCGGTCATGTCCGATTCTTTGCGGCCCCATGGACTGCAGCACACCAGGTTTTCCTGTCCATCACCAACTCCCGGAGCTTGCTCAAACTCACCCTCACACAAAAGGATGACACCTGAATATCACTCTGCTTCTTCTTCATCCTCTACCTTGCTTTCCAGGTAAAGAGGGTGAGAAAAGGAGAGGAAATCGTCATTGATCCACTGATTTGTTTCAATGCATGTAAGGAGAAAGGTCGGACTCCTCCCATTGCCAAATATGGGACAGACTTAAATCTGAAGGTTAATCTTAAATCTGATAAAATGGCACTTATACACTCATCTGTTTGTGAGGAAAACAGTCCATCGAGATGCCCCAAGGAGGTGCACAAATTCTCTGAGGCCAAAAGTAAGAGAGAGTATTTTTTTTTTTCCCTGTCAAGCCTAGCCTATCCCTGCCCTCCCATCAAAAAACAAAAGAAAACCTCACAACAGTTCACTTGCTATACCTGGCTCCATTTATTTATGGGACAGCTTGAAGCAAAGACAAGTTTTGCCTGGTTAATCATATAAAGGCTACTATATTATTTTCTTTATGAATCTGGTTTTAAAGTACTTGTCCATCTCCGTGGAGCCTCTCACTTTGTCTAATAGCTTTTGATAGTCCTAGGTCACAAGGTATTTCATTCCCAATTGTTTGCATTATCCTTTCATTATGGTATAGGAGGGATATCTGTAGTCTTTGGGAATTAGCAACCTAATGGAATTCCAAAGTGTGTGTGTATGTGTGAGTGAATGAAAATGATTTTCTCCATCTAATAGCATAACATCTTAGTTTAATGTTACCCATGGAGGGAAACAGGAAAGAAATTAATGGATGAATTTTTTATCACAGTTATTATCAAGCAACCACAAACCCAGGTCTAGTTTCATGACCGGTACTGAATCTATACTTGGCAGGTCTTCATCACCAATGGGAAATCTGACAAGCAGGCAGACAGACCAATAGGATCTAAAATGTTTTTTGAATTACCTTCTCAATATTCAAAAACCAGTTTATCTAAAACATAGCAAGTCTTATCTTCTGTGCAAACTTGTACTCATGACTTATTGCCCATACACGTGGAGAATTAGCAAAGCATGCTCTACATTTGCTGACCTTTAATAAAGATAAATTCTCCAGGGGGGATAGAATTGAGCCCTCCTTTGAAAATCCACTCCTGGGTTTCTCCTGACCTGGGTGCCTCTCACATTTACACGCAGTTGTTTGTGAGGACCCCTAATCACGAAAATAAATCAAAGGAGGAAGTCCTATATCTTTATAGAGAGATTGCTGAATTAACAAAATGCTATACTTACTAGAAAAAGAAAACATATTTTCCCTAATTTTATATGTTTATGTGTGTGTATATATACAAGTGTATATATATATTTCTTCCCCCCCACCCCAGTAAAGTCTGGCTGAAAGATCTCCTTACACATTAAGTGAATCAAGTGGGGAATTAGTCCAGCTGGAATGCTTGCTAGAGTTTTGATAATGAAACCACTGCTGTGGCTGCATTTTGTGAGTTTCACGTTGGGTTTTCAAACTCACAATAGCTCACCTAAAGAAAAAACTTCAGGGCTAGTAAAGTTCAAGAACCAAAGGGCCCACCAAAGGACTCAGAGCTTGAAATCTGCAGGATATCCTTGCACTAGTTGTTATACTCGAGTTTTATGTCACTTCTCTGATGTAGATGCCACAGGAATTGTTTTTCATGTTTTACAAGGGAGGAAACTGGCTGACAGGGGCCGACTGGCTTGCTCCAGGCCAACTATACTAGTGGTGGCAGAATGACAGTTAGAACCTTGGTCTCACATCACAGATGTTTCGAACACAGAAGAGATCTTCGCAATTCAGCAAGTGGGAACAATCACCTGTCTAATGCATCTCAGTGCATCAGCTTGCAGTCTGGAATAAGTCCCCAGAAAACCAGTTGCTCAATAGGTGAAAGCAGCCGCAATTTGCAAAAAGAACAAAGCAGTTATGGCCATGGCGTGCCACGTTCTTAAGTCTCTCTCCCACCTATTGCAATGTAACTCATCGTCACTCACATGGACAGTATCAGGAAAGCATGGCCGCCCTGGTGTGTTTTGGGCTTTGTCATAAGTCACAGGCCTGCAGTTTCTAAACTTCCTTCCAAAGTCCAGCTCTCAGGCTTCAGGCACTCACTCATGTGTACTGCAAGTGAACCATCAGAGACACTTATGGGGACCAAGCTGGGAGCTGTAATACTCATCAGCAGTTACTTCCAACTGTATTTGCATTCAGCCAAACAGAAGTGCTAAAACACGTTTGCACCTTACTGACTATAAGTCCATCAGTTAAATGTCAACAGGAAGTATCAGACAGGGATTAACATATTACAAACTCTAAGCAAAAAAATCACTCAGATTTCAAGAGACCTCGAGGTGGGAGACACAATAGCTATTCTGTTTTTACATACAGCTCAAGAATATGTAATACATAGTGCCATTTCTTGAAAGGGCCTCAGGTCAAACACTCTGGAAACTGAACTCGGTGCAGCAGGCACTGTAATTGGCCAGAATTTTCTTTATTAATGTATTTCATGTGACAGGATGGAAGTTTGAAGCTCTTTACCTGATGCTGGTTCCATTTACATCATTAGTACATCGCTAACCCCATTACCTAAGGGTAATGCTATTAGCTAATAAACTATAAGGTAAAGGTGGGTTGTACAAATAAAGAAAGGTATCCTGGGATGAACTATTCTTATGTTTAAATATAAACTGAAACAATCCACTTCTTTTTCCAACCTCTAGACCATAGTCAAACTTTTTTTAAAGTGACTTGTAACAAAGATTATTTTTAATAAGCATGTCGTTTCTCGACAGTCAAAAGCTTTGACTGTACCACCCATACATGCTCAGGCCCCATATTCCAGGCATGAGCTAAGAATATTATAACTCACATACAAACCTCTCCCTTGCCCACCATTAGAATTTTAAGTCCCAGGCGAAGACTAGGTCTCCAGTTGGGTACAAATTTCAGTGGGATTTGGAAAAATCCTTTAAATAGATTTTTATTGGTTTTTAAGAACAGGGTTATTTTGTGTTAATAATGGGCATACATTAGGCTTTAGATAATTGCTTTATGTAACTTGGAGTTTTGGCTTTCAGCTAAATAAACACGCTATGTGTTCACAGGTGTATTGTCCTCAAGGGCACTCCGCTTTTAAGGGTGGCAGCTGTTGCCAAGGTGTTGCTGATACAACTCTGTGTATAATTTATTGGAAACAGGTGCTAGCTCATGATGAAGATAGACAGGAAACTAAAGCAGACAACATGTTTAACCACCATTAAAAAAGTTCAGGTTCAGAGAGACAATGTGTCTGAGATGTTTGGGGGATGTTGCCAGCATCCAAGAGCAAGTTTAAAAGCTCCTGCAGATCAGCATAAGGAAGAAATTGTACATGAATTTCAAGCAGCCCAGCCTAATGAGTGCCTGATGCTATGCTGCCAGATTTAATTGATTACATGAAAAATTTGGAGTTTGTGTAAGGCTAGCAAAAAATTATGAAATACTTTCCTAAGCTAATTGTTAAAAATTACTTTCAAATGAGGTAATAACTGTTAGTTTTCAATGATCTGGACAGTGGATTAGGCTGTAATGTGTTTGCTTTATGCTCTGAGTATTTGCTTTGGATTCTGTGTGGAGATTCTGCAGTGCTGGGACGAGCCCAGCACTCGTGTCCACGGGGCACTGGTATACGTTAGGGCAGTAAGACCGGAGACAGGCTTTAGAACCGTGAGAGACAGACACTCACCCTCTTTCTCTGAACGTTACTTGGCTATGGAGTCAGTCGGCAGGCTTGGGGACAGTTCCCATCTTCAGTCTTCCAGCACCATGGATGAGTGG